AATTACATTAGCCATCTTCCACATATCAGACACTACAACTGTTGAAAGAGATAAATTAAAAATATTAGTTAATGGTTCACAGAATTCCATTTTGCATTCCTTTAGAACCCTTTGAAAAACCTCATCAGGAACCCAGTGACTTATTTTGCTTCAGTCTGTCTATCTGCTTCCACAACCATTTCACTAGTGACTGTGATGGTTACATAACTTTCTTTTTGATCAACTATAAAAATTAATTACCGGAATATTTATTATGTGTCTTCCTGTGTAAAAACGAGAGAAAATAATTATTTAAAATCGAGCACATTTCATTCTCTTTGTAGTGAAGATTGCCCATAGTTATACTTTTAAAGGGGACCTATCTGATTCTCTGACTTTTGTTCTTAGGACCTGGAAAAAAACTTTTTGGTGTTAGTTTTAGTATACCTAGCAACTTTAATTTCATAGTTCCTGTTAGGATTTTCTTATCCCTTTTAATGTCCCTCTAATGTCACATATACTGATTCATAAGATGACACCTCGCCTCTTTTGATACGCCTATAAATTCCTTCTTATGCCCTAGTTAGATTTCAGCCTATTATTCATCCATTTTGGGTCATTTCTATTGATCTTATTTCCTTGTAAGTGGATAAACGTTCTTTGAGAGCATGTATTGTGCTCAGGAAAAACTCTCATATTGATAGCCTCTCTTTCTTACCCCAGTCAACAGATGAAAGTGTTTCTCTAAGCCATCGAATCTGCTAATGCGAAAATTTGGGACTGTTACTGAGTACTATCCCTACTATCTTTCCTTCAATTCTAAATGTAATTGATTTGTGGTCGCTAGCCACCCTGTTCTCTGAAACTTTATAAATTATATTAACAAGGGGATTCATTGTTGCCAGACTAAGTCAAGCAGGTTATTACCCCGGTAGGTTCTGTCCTACAAACTGCTTCAAAAAAAACATTCCTGATCTACTTCTAAGGAAGTCGTTTATGATTCTAAATTCCCAGTTAAGAAATTCCAATCAATATGACTTAAGTTAAAGTCTCTCTGTAGTACTACATTATCGTGCCTTGTGGCCCTACATTTCCTCCCAGAAGTAGTCTCCCCGGTCCCTATCTAAGTTTGGGGGACGGTTATCACACTAAATTAATTTTTCTTGCCCTCTGAAAATTCTATCCAAACAGACTATGTATGTGTTACTTCAGACTTTAATACCCGGTTTTTATGCAACAGTTCAAACGATCTCTCGGACATACAATCCCACGCCACCCCCCTTCCCGATATTCTATCTATTTGGGAACAATTTAAAACCCTGAATGTGACATTCTGCAGGCATGTCCCGACTTTTTGAATTAAACCACATCTCAGTAATGGAAAATTATTCGTTCCTGCACTAGCAATTCTAAAACCGTCCATCTTATTCCTAGCACTGCGATATTTGTGTATAAATATTAAAGACCCTCCTCTCTCTTTCCCCTTTCCCCTGCCCCCTTTCTGTTTTTCCCCACAAAACCTATTACTGTCCTTTCAATTGTGCCCTTGTTTTCCAATACCCACCTCATTTTGCCTATTACTAGTTTCCTAGATCAATTATACCCGCGACTTCACAGTTTTCCTCCCAAAAAACCCAAACTAATATTCCTATTTTAAAGACCAAAGCCCCCCTCCACTGCGTTAGCCAGTGCCCCCCCCACCCCCTGATAAGTGACCCCATCCCTGGCAAATGTCATTTCTCCCTGAATAGGTCCGTTGTCAATAAATTTTACCGTTTTCCCTTAAGTATTGTCCAGCCAGAAATTTTTGACCCTTTGCCTTGGACAACCTTTTCATTTCCAACTTTTTCCTTTGAAAAATCCCACATTTGACGGTTTCCCATTTCCCTCCTAATTATCTCATTGCTCTATACCTGCTAATAGGTCCTCACCCCTATGTCTGCCAACATCGTTGCCTCCGCACTGAGAAGTAATGGATTGCTCCCCCTTACCTTCATGATGTCTCCGACGGCAAAAAAATACCTTCATCCCAGCCCAGGAAAACACACTCTCTGCCTCCTATCCTATCCTTCAAAGAGAATGCCCCATCCCTGTACCTAATCTGGTATCCCCCAAAAACAAAAATTTTTTTTCTTTTTTTTCCTTCCTGGCGTCGTCCGTCGTGATGCTCCGAGTGTCGATCACATTCGCCAGTGCATTAACCCCTTGTAGAATTTTGTCAAGACGTTCTCGATGGTCTTCGTTGGGGTTTCTAGGGATTTCTTATCACGTCTGCCAATGCTTTTTTGGTGCTCGTTTTGGCATTCCCAGTGAACACTCAATTCCAGGAGCACCGAAAATGGGTTGGATTTCCACGGTAGTCTTCTGGTTTCTTTTTTGTTTCTGCCTCTCCAACCCGTTTTTTTGATCTTCGCTTGGTTCCAGTTGCCCGGCCACTGACCAGCTCCCTCTTAACCTGGGGCCCAAAAACAAAAGGATTATAGAATGTTTTGTTCCCCTCCGTTAATCGCCGTATCTCCTCTTAGCAACTCTGAGCCTTCTCTCAGCTGTGGAAAAAGTTGCTCAGAGAGGGCTCCTGGCAGTTTCAAGGAGGCACACAAACAGGTTTCAAGAGCTAATTTCACGTCCCCACTGAGCTAAGTCCCCTTTCCCCACTGAGCTAAGTACACGTCAATAAAGGGAAAGTAACGTCCCCATGAGCTAAGTCACGTCACCATTTGTGTAAGAAACCGTCATCACTCTCTAAGTACACGTACCATGGCTAAGTACACGTCCCCACTGCTAAGTACACGTCACCACTGGCTAAGTACAGTCACAATTTCGTAAAAAGGTGATTAAACTCCATATAGTAGTTCGTTTGTTGGAAATGATCTTCTCAAGAACTTTCCCGTGACTTCAAGTAAAGTATAGGTCTATAGTTCCGGGTTTGGTGGATGTTTTTTATTGGGCTTAGCAAGAAAGATCATTAGCGTTTTTAAAAAACAACTGGAAAACGTTCCTGGGGGCCAAGATGGCATTAAAGATATTAACCAAAGATGTTTACAATTTCTGGGTAGGAAATTATTTGTTTTTTTTAGTCAATTTTATAAGAATGTTTCAGAGCAAATGTGCAAATCTGTGCTTGAGTACTCTTTTTTTGGTGGTTGACCAAAAGGGTAACATTTAAGACATTGTGTCACACTGAAAATCGTTCAAAAGAGATTTGTCAGGTGTAATTTGGTGCCAAAAAATTTTTAAGCCTTTTTTACCACAAGTTTGGCCCCTTTAGGGCCCCCAAGTATTAAAATTTTAAAGGTTTTTGTTAGGGTTTAGAGAATTTTTTGTGCTTCGACAGCCCTAAATTCAGAATTCTCTGTTTAAAGTCTTCAACAATTTCAGTTGCGTGCTTGTCGCATTTTAAAAATGTTAATTTGGAACTGGGGTTAACACCAAAAGTCTTCAATTTTTCCAGAACATCATGCTTCAGCAGTTGAAGTAACTCTTCTTCAGAAGAGAGGAGAAGTACTGCTCCAGCGTGGGTTTGAAAAACATCCACTGGAACAACAGTTAAATTCGAGCAAATACATGCTAGAATTTCTTTCATCTTTTTTTGGTTGCCATCAACACGTAATCTTACTCTTATCCTCGCCATGATGTCTAGGAAGGTACATTTGGCAGAGAAGTTACTTTAACAAAAAGGGTCTTTCCTTAGTGTTAGTCTAGCATCCTATTACAGTTGACTTACGAAGGTCAGCCCCTAAGATAGCCTACCCTCGAGTGGTGAGGGGGAAAGGGCCCAAGGCAAAGATCGGCCGGATTTTAAAAAACCACACGGGCTACCGGATGGTCAAAATGCCTTGTGATAACTCGCCAAAGCGAAGTTGCCGAAAAAGAAGAAGATAGGAAAGTCAGAAGGATAGCAATGTATGTAGTGTGTTAGTGTGTGGGCCAGTGTAGTTGTTTGGGTGAGGGGAGGAAGGGGAAGGAAGGGAGGATGGGGAGGAAAGGGGTGAACAAGCAAGCAAGTCACCGCCTTACCCTCTTGATGGGATGGTGCTCGAAGTGGCTGCAAGCAAGTTCCTCTCAGCTCTGGTGAAGAACTACTCAGGCCCGAGACTGTTCAACTGTCTCCCAGCACACATAAGGGGGATTACCAACAGACCCCTGGCAGTCTTCAAGCTGGCACTGGACAAGCACCTAAAGTCGGTTCCTGACCAGCCGGGCTGTGGCTCGTACGTTGGTTTGCGTGCAGCCAGCAGCAACAGCCTGGTTGATCAGGCTCTGATCCACCAGGAGGCCTGGTCACAGACCGGGCCGCGGTGGCGTTGACCCCGGAACTCTCTCCAGGTAAACTCCAGGTAATAACCCAAGAAAAATCCCGAGTAACAGTGTTCAGAGTTGCTCAGCTCGACAATTACTCAGGATAAATGAAGAGCAGGAACGACGACGTCTTCTCTCCACGGCGGCTGGGCGGCATCCTGTGTCTGTCTGTTGTGTATCTGTCTGTGTGTCATTTATCTAACCTATTTTTAAAACTACACAACGTTTTAGCCTGAATAACTGTACTCGGGAGTTTGTTCCACTCATCTGATCTGAGTCACTATTGTCCCAAACACAGACAAATTTCGACTTAGCCTTGGAGGACTCACCTTAGAACAATTTCTTATTGATCTGAAAGGACAATAAAAATGTTCTGTACACACCCAGATCATTACTGAATTCATATATACACTACCAAATTTTAGGGAAATATTTATATACCGAAACTTGAAAACATCACCTAAAAGGGCAGTAACAACTGTACTAAGTTCTATTTTGTTGCACTTTTTTCATTTGCATGGTGCACTCGTAATATGCTTCACAACGCCTTCATATATACATCAAATATGGCTAAACTATTAATTTACGCACTAGACACACAAATCAGTACTTACCGACATTGTAGAGGGTGAAATGCTTCAGTATATAAGGAGCACTCAACAGAAAAACACGAGTTTGGGCGACGGCAAGCTAGAAGTGTTTACATTCTGCTCTCTCGACCAATGGGAAGCGAGCAGCCGCCATCACGCTCAGCTGGGGTGACTCAGGGAAGGTCTGTAATTGGTCAGAAATAGAGAATGGGAACCTAGATACGCTGGGGGAGTCGGAAGACGTGTGCAAAAAACCACGTTCTGAGGACCGATTATATTCGGTCCTGCCCGGTAAAGGGATTTATTAAGATCTACATCATTTAGTTTATATGTGGCATGGTTATTTACCAGTCCAACATTTAGAACTTTGCATTTGTCAATATTAAACTGCATCTGCCACTTCTCCAACCATTGCATCAGTCTATTCAAATTATCCTGGAGTGCTCTGGTGTCCTCATTAGAATGAATTGGACGGCCTATTTTGGTGTCATCAGCAAATTTGCTTATGTCGCTATTTATTCCCTCATCTATGTCGTTTATGTAAATTGTGAACAACAGTGGGCCCAACACTGACCCCTGAGGAACACAGCTTGTGACGTGCCCCCATTCTGATTTCTCCCCATTTATGCAAACTCTCTGCTGTCTATTTGTCAGCCATGCCTCTACCCAGGAAAAAACTTCTCCTCCTATTCCGTGTGCCTTAAGTTTCCTCAATAGCCTCTGGTGTGGAACTCTATCGGAAGCCTTACTGAAGTCCATATACACAATATCATATTCATTGCCATGATCTACCTCCTCAAACACCTTAGTGAAAAAAGTTAGCAAATTCGTAAGACAGGAACGCCCCTTTGTAAAACCATGTTGAGATTCATTAATCAATCTGTGCCTGTCAAGATGGCTACGAATTGCTTCGGCAGTTATTGATTCCATAAATTTTCCCACTATTGAGGTAAGGCTTATTGGTCTATAGTTCGAAGCCAAGGACCTGTCACCTGCCTTGTAAATAGGTATTACATTTGCCATTTTCCACTTATCAGGCACTATGCCAGTTTGTAGTGATATGTTAAAAAGATTAGCCAAAGGTATGCTAAGTTCCTCTTTACATTCCTTTAACACCCTTGCAAACAGTTCATCAGGGCCTGGGGATTTGTTAGGTTTTAGTTTCTCTGTTTGTCTGAGGACCATGTCACTAGTTACTGCAATCGTACATAGTTTATTATCATCCTGTTCTACATAATCTATTATTTCAGGAATATCGCTAGTATTTTCCTGGGTAAAAACTGAGAGGAAGTAGGTATTTAGAATTTCACACATATCCTTATCACTGTCAGTGATCTAACCAGAGTTACTCTTAAGTGGGCCAATCTTGTCCCTAATCTTACTTCTGTATACCTGAAAGAATCCTTTAGGGTTAATCTTTGAATCCCTTGCGACCTTAGCCTCATAATCCCTTTTTGCTTTTCTTATTCCTTTCTTTATTTCTCTCTTTAATTGAATACATTGATTTCGTAACTGCCCATCCCCTCTTTTGATACGCCTATTTATGCCTCTCTTTTGACCAATGAGATGTTTTAATCTATTGTTCATCCATTTGGGATCATTTTTGTTAGATCTAATTTCCCTACTCTGAACAAAAGTTGTCTGGGCAGCTAGAACTATGCTCTGAAAAACGTCATATTGGCAACCAAGATCACCTACCTGACCACAGTCAGGACATCCCACTTTAGCCCACTTCATCTTTGAACATTTGTGATATTTCCTGACAGACTTGCCAGACGAGGAACCCAGGATCAGCGATACTGGGGTCAGCCACCAGCTGCACGAGGAGGTGGTGTTGAACTGTTCATCTCCGAGGTCCCAACCTCCAGCTTCCCTCACCTTCTACGTCAACCAGGAGCTGGTAACCTCTTCCTCCTCCACACCACCAGTACGTGGTTACGTAATGGGAAAGTGGTGGTCCAGATGGGCCCTACAGACGCGTTGTAAGCTGTACAGTGTACTACAGTATGTGAGTAATTTGCTCTCCAAAATCCACGACAATCGTTAATTCAAGACTATTTTTAATATATTAAGGATCGTGTAGAAACATACTAAGACGGTTGGCTGCTTCCAGGGACTCGTGTACCACTGTGCAGCTTACAGCCTACCATTGACTGTGACCCGCCTTGTCATAACATGCACAATAATTCTGTTTAACAGGGAAATATATTATCAAAATGTTTTAAAGTCAGCTTTTTTTAACATTTTATCAGGTAATTTATTTACAGTTCTACTTATCGTTTAAATGAATGAACAGATTGCCACAAAAACACTCCCCGATTTCAAACAGGTATAACCTCTGCAAGTGGCCTGCGAGGTCACCGGACCTAACTGTTTATGACTTATCAGATTAGAGGGAGAGAGTATGGAGGAGGTGAATGTATTCGGATATTTGGGGGTACCTGAAGAGCACAGTTTACCTACCACCACTACCTGCAACCCTGGAGGAGCTGAAAGTTTCGATCACTGAAGCAGTTCGAATGATAACATCAGAAATGCTGCAGAGCGTCTGGATCGAACTGGACTACGGCTCTGATGTTTGCCGAGCAACCGGAGGGGCGCACATTGAATGCCCTTAATGCTACCCTATATTACATGAAACTGAATGAAATCCTGCATCTGTAGCTACTAACTCTGAAAGATTATTACAATAAAGTTACATGTTATACCTGTTTGAAATCAGGGAGTGTTTTTTGTGGCCACCCTGTATTATTACTGTGTTTTTTAGTACCACCTTGAGCAATACATTAACACCATCACCATGTTGTACCGTATATCGACGCCACAACCACGACCTAGTGCTGTACATCAACACCACAACCACCACCTAGTGCTGTACATCAACACCACAACCACCACCTAGTGCTGTGCATCAACACCACAACCACCACCTAGTGCTGTACATCAACACCACAACCACCACCTAGTGTCATACATCAACGCCACAACCACCACCTAGTGCTGTACATCAACACCACAACCACCACCTAGTGTCATACATCAACGCCACAACCACCACCTAGTGCTGTACATCAACACCACAACCACCACTAGTGTCATACATCAACACCACAACCACCACCTAGTGTCATACATCAACACCACAACCACCACCTAGTGTCATACATCAACACCACAACCACCACCTAGTGCTGTATATCATCACCACAACCACCACCTAGTGCCGTACATCAACACCACAACCACCACCTAGTGCTGTACATCAACACCACAACCACCACCTAGTGCTGTACATCAACACCACAACCACCACCTAGTGCTGTACATCAACACCACAACCACCACCTAGTGCTGTACATCAAACACCAACAACCACACCTAGTGCTGTACATCAACAACCACAACCACCAACTAGTGCTGTACATCAACACCACAACCACCACCTAGTGCTGTACATCAACACCACAAACCACCACCTAGTGCTGTACATCAACACACACAACCACCACCTAGTGCTGTACATCAACACCACAAACCACCACCTAGTGCTGTACATCAACACCACAACCACCACCTAGTGCTGTACATCAACACCACAACCACCACCTAGTGCTGTACATCAACACCACAACCACCACCTAGTGTCATACATCAACACCACAACCACGACCTAGTGCCATACATCAACACCACAACCACGACCTAGTGCTGTACATCAACACCACAACCACGACCTAGTGCTGTACATCAACAACACAAACCACCACCTAGTGCTGTACATCAACACCACAACCACCACCTTAGTGTCATACATCAACACCACAACCACCACCTAGTGCCATACATCAACACCACAACCACCACCTAGTGCTGTACATCAACACCACAACCACCACCTAGTGTCATACATCAACAACCACAACCACCACCTTAGTGCCATACATCAACACCACAACCACCACCTAGTGCTGTACATCAACACCACAACCACCACCTAGTGCTGTACATCAACACCACAACCACCACCTAGTGCTGTACATCAACACCACAACCACCACCTAGTGCTGTACATCAACACCACAACCACCACCTAGTGCCATACATCAACACCACAACCACCACCTAGTGCCATACATCAACACACAACCACACCTAGTGCTGTACATCAACAACACAACCACCACCTAGTGCTGTACATCAACACCACAACCACCACCTAGTGTCATACATCAACACCACAACCACCACCTAGTGCCATACATCAACACCACAACCACCACCTAGTGCTGTACATCAACACCACAACCACCACCTAGTGTCATACATCAACACCACAATCACCACCTAGTGCCATACATCAACACCACAACCACCACCTAGTGCTGTACATCAACACCACAACCACCACCTAGTGTCATACATCAACACCACAACCACCACCTAGTGCCATACATCAACACCACAACCACCACCTAGTGCTGTACATCAACACCACAACCACCACCTAGTGCCATACATCAACACCACAACCACCACCTAGTGCCATACATCAACACCACAACCACCACCTAGTGCCGTACATCAACACCACAACCACCACCTAGTGCCATACATCAAACACCACAACCACCACCTAGTGCCATACATCAACACCACAACCACCACCTAGTGCCATACATCAACACCACAACCACCACCTAGTGCCATACATCAACACCACAACCACCACCTAGTGCCATACATCAACACCACAACCACCACCTAGTGCCATACATCAACACCACAACCACCACCTAGTGCCATACATCAACACCACAACCACCACCTAGTGCCGTACATCAACACATAATTCATCAATCATATGCTGTTTATAAATATTTCATCAAGTATGTTGTGTGTTAAACCGCCACTTCCTTCACGTCATGTTGTAAGTCAACACAAGTATCATTGTCTTGAACGCCACAACACCATCTGACACATCAGAACCTTGAACCATTTTGCTGTACATCACACCTATTGTGGTTCACCCTCTTAGTGGCCATCATATAGAACTACGTCATTGTGACGAGAGTCCCTCTTGTACTTCGTCATGAGCTCAGCTCACTCAGATAAGCTGTGAGCGGTAAATTTTGGCCTTCATGTGAGAGCGTTGGTCTGTGTGGTGAGTTTTTTACAGTATAAATCGTGTCTCAAGCTGTATGGATGGTTTAAAATAGCGAATTTAACGTGGTTTTTATGGGTTTTAGTGGCTATTTTTATATCATTTGATAGCCTAGAGGATGTATTATGGACATAAATATGATTTTGAGTCGTATAATGAATGTAAGAAACTTGAAATTAAGCTGAAAGTAGCAAAAAATATTTTGGTAAGGCCTCGCTATAGCCTCCAGTGTCCTTCCATGGGGGTTTTAATTGTTCTGGTTCAATTATTGTGATACCGTAAACCATAACTACCCATTCTTGCTTCTATTTTATTATCTGACAAAAAGAATAAATTTTCCATGTGTGTGTGATTTAGAATTTAAAATGGAAAACAAATGTAATATAAAAAAGGCCTCAGGACGCGATTAATGAACAGAGAAAATATTGGTTTAGTGCTTGAAAAGTCTATGTTTATTTTTGACTGTATTGTTCAATACGACATTCCAGAATTCAACATTTTTCATACAGTTGAAATATATGAATGGACCGTTTCTTGAGCTCGAATTAATACTAACCAAATAGCTAAGCATTTGGCCAAATGGCACAATTTTGTAATTACATTTGTTTTCGATCATATATGTCATGACGAATAAGTAAAACTGGTCAATTAGCAATAACTCAGTCAAAATTAAGTCCTTTTAAAATTTTCTCCTGTACATTTAAAGATATATTTTTTCATTTATCTTAATATAAAAATTATTGATTTTTTAAAAGAAGAATATAAAGAAGCTTTCCTGACCTTACTACAATAAGTACGTTTTAATTTAGCCAACTAAACATATTTTACATAAGTTTACAGTAAATTAATAAACAAACACAATGAAATCATTGTTTTCGTTAGGTTCATAACGATTTTAGGATCGACACCATGCCTAACCCTTCTAGGGTAGGGTAGGTGCCTGAGCCCGAGCCTTTAGCTCATAAGACTGTCATTCCCATTTGCCCCCTTGGGGCGGGGATGGCAGACCAGAGAGGCCTAGCTTGTGGCTAGGCCTGGGGACAGTTGGTCCCAAAGATGAGGAGGTACTTGTGCCTCCTCCCATGGGAGACTTACGTCTCAGACACTCCCTAAAGAGGGAGCCAAGACCGGGCCACCACTTGGACAAGGCCCGGGCCGGGAGAATACCGGCTAATCTTTAACTAACTAACTAACGATTTTAGCAAAATTTTTGCAAACACAAATTTTCGCTTTCCTTATTCGGCAACAAGAGCGTTGTTATTTAAGCCAAAATCGCAGGTTTTACCTATATGGATCAACATAGAAATGTTAAAAGCAGGTGAGGATATAGTTTTGGAGTGGTTGGTGCTTTTATTTAATAAATGTATGGAAGAGGGTAAGGTACCTAGGGATTGGCAGAGAGCATGCATAGTTCCTTTGTATAAAGGCAAAGGGGATAAAAGGAGCGCAAAAATAATAGGGGACTAAGTCTGTTGAGTATACCTGGTAAAGTGTATGGTAGTATTACTAAAAGAATTAAGAGTAAGACGGAGAATAGGATTAGCAGATGAACAAGCAGGCTTCAGGAAAGGTAGGGAGTGCGTAGACCAAGTGTTTACAGTGAAACATATAGGTGAACAGTATTTAGATAAGGGTAAAGAAGTTTATGTGGCATTTATGGATTTGGAAAAAGCATATGACGGGGTGGATAGGGGGGCACTGTGGCAGATGTTTCAAATATATGCAATAGGAGGTGGGTA